GACACCGAGGGTTGCGATCCCGTTGTCGGTCCCTGGTACGGGCGCGACACCGAGGGTTGCGATCCTGTTACTGGTCAGTAAAAAAGACAAAAAAGAAAAAAAAAGGAGCAAATTGTAAGAATATATATCAACATTGTGGATTTCAAAAACAGTGCAGAGTGAAAAATCCAAGTTAGATAGAAAAAAAAAATGATAAAAGTAGCAGAAGACTTCCCATTTGAAGAGTGCAGTGGAGCGGGAAACAATGTGGGTGTTTTTATGTGAGTGCCTCACTGATGCCTCCAGGTTTGGTGGAACAGACACAGGGGAAAGTTTCCAGGTGGAAAGGTGTATAATGTCCCTATAGGAACACTTTTTCCCAGTAATGATGACAATGATTTGGTAAAGCTGGAAGAACTGCTAAGCTTTGCCATTCTTTGCCCTCTGGCTAACAGCAAAGTAGAAAAAAAAAACTGCTTAAATAACTCCCCCAACATGCAATTCTATTACAAATAAAAGCTATTATAAATAAAAAACATTTTAGATCTTTGAGAGGAGGGTACAGCAAGGTGGCAGAATAGGACTCTACAGTGATCCTTCCCCCTCACCCACCTGCATAAATATCTATTTGAACAATATCCATGCACAAAAATACCTTTGTAAAAGTTAAGGAATCCAGATTAGGGATTACAGTACCTGGTTATAGAATAATATTAAGGAAAAATGCATTGAAGAGGGTAGGAAGTACAGTTTTATATTACCAGTGTCACCACTTGCCAAACCTCAGGCTATACAATATGAAGAAAGATACCATCTGCTTGGGGGAAAGAGAGGGAAGTAAACATAGGACTTTGACTTAGACCTCAACACTGAGCCCACTACAGTAAAACCCAGCAACAAGCAGAATCACATGGCCCTTTACTCCTGGTCAGTATCTGCAGACTGAGGCTCTAGACCCACCCCAGCACCAGACAGGAAACTGTAGCCCCTGAAAGATGAACTTTAGTTCTGTCCTGCACCACCACCAGGTAACTTACAGTGATCTTGGGCTCTGAATAACCCAGTGACAGTCAAGCCTAGTAACCATGGGCTTCAGGCACATCCCAGTGCTGCACTGACTTCAGCAGCCATGGGATTTAGGTGTACCCCAACACTGTACTAGCCTTGGCAATCACAGGATTCCAGCCTAGTGCTGCATCAGC